GGTGGTACTTTAATAAATTCATGGCCATGAATCAAGTGGAACTCGCCCATGGTTTTAATTACACCAACATACGTGATTCACCGGCAGATTTGTTGCAGGAAATTGACATAGATAACCTAAAAAAGTTTGCTGTTTACACAATTGACCTCAATTAAAAAATTTGACTCAACTGACCCAATTTAATATTTTGAATAGAATATTGAATGATTAAATTACTATTTTAGCCTCAATCTGGAATGCAAGTGAAGTCGCAAACGAATTAACACGAAAGGAAATTAATGGGCAGGTTCGACCGTGATTTTGACCGTGGTTATTGTTAGTTTGACCTTGGTTAGTAGAAGAGTAACACGAATTTTTTGCTTCACCACAGCCGTGAACTATAGGACCCCGGCCGTAGTGTTCATTTGGACCGTGGTTAAAATGAATGCTTGACCACGGCTGTGAAAACTAGTACCACGGCCATGGTGTTCATGAAAGACAACTAATGGGCTAGGTTGGATCGTATTTAAATTGTTTGCTTGACCACGGCCATGAAAAAGAGTACCACGGCCGTTAATGTAATGACCATTATACCCCTCAGTTCAAATTCAAACTGTTCGTATCTCTCATTCCATCTTCTTTTCTGTTCTTCCGTTTCGTTTTCGTTTTCACCCATTCGATTTACGCTCCCTCAATTTCCTCTGTTTCACTCTCTACTAGTCAATATCGTGCTCCGAATCGCTTCCCATATCCGAAACTTCGAGGTTAGARCATTTTATTTCGTATTTGCGTCTCTTTTATGGCAAGAAAATAAGTTTTTGTTTACTTATATTTGCGATTTTTTTCGTTATTTGTCCTTTCATTCCTTCCATGGCAGCCTATTTAGTATTTTCGGTACTTGTAGGGCTCGAAATCGGCGTTTTTTGTTTATGATTTTCTTTTGTGGTTAAAATTTTGATTTAGGGCTTCAGGGTTTTGTTTTCGGTTGTGTTTGCGTGGGTTTGTGTGGGTTGATGTTTTCTGCTGCGTTTGTTATCGTTGTGTGGGTTTTCTACATGGAAGGTTTAAGGGTTTAGAAATTTGTGTTGAACCACGGCCATTAACGCAATAGTGGTTTTTGAACGATGCATTGGTTTTGGGCAAATTAATGGGCGCGTTAACGGCCGTGGTTCAACGCAAATTTCATGGTCGTGGTTTTTGGCCGTGGTTAAAATGATTGCTTGACCACGGCCATGAAAAAGAGTACCACGACATTGGTTCTGTCTAAATTCATGGTCGTACCACGGCCATGGTCGTGACCTTGAAATTTGACAGAATCAACATCTAGCCCACCCATGACGCCACCTTCGTACATCGTACTAGCCTCGTTCCACTTGCCACCATAGATCGCAAATCGTCGACGCATCCTGCATGGAGAATAATAATAACACACAAGTAATAAGTAATCAAAGTCACCTCGACCGTGTTAGTTTCAAGACACGACCATAATGATTACGCTTGTTTACATGCGTAAAAAGAAGGTTTTAGATGCTGTTTTTACTATGTTTCAGCTTTGTTTCGGATTTTTCTCGATCGTTTGAGTTCCAATTCATGCAAAATTCATATACTATGGTTTGTCGATGGCTTATATTGTATTTATGACATTTTAGAACCATTTGGGAGTGCAAATTAATCAAAAGAAGCAAAAAGACGAAAAAGTATCATGGGAGGCGCCAGGCGCCTGGGAAGCCTGCAGAAAAACTGGTTTTCTTCCAACTTTGCCCTTAATGAAACGCGTCTTCCAATGTGTTTTGGTGGTTCCAACCGATGCATACGTGTAGAAGAAGTGTTCCACTATCAGTTTGAGCACGATTTGGTCAGTCAAAAGAGTTGGAAATGGGTGATTCACCATCGTTTTAGGACCTACCTAACCAATTCTGCACARCTATAAATTCCAGCAACTTCTMCACCAAAWTSATCAAGCCTTGCTTCCTTCTCTTGATCATTTTTAGTGTTTCTTTGTTGCTTTCTAAGTACTTTTGAGTTGCTTTCATTAGTTACTTTTGATTTTTAAATCCCGAGCACTTTACATTCTTTTATTGAGCTTGTTTTGTTTCCATTTGTACTTAGTCATTTTTCTACTTATTCAAATATATAAAAATCTAGCACTTTGCTTATYYTCTCTTTGCCTTTACTTTATTTTYAGTTAAGAGAGTTGTGTTTTTGGAGGAAAGAGCACGTGACACTCTCCCTTGCTTGAAAGAGAAGGGCGAAGCTCTCAATCCCGATAAAAACTCTCCGTTAGTTAACTTTTGTTTTTCACACATGCATTCCACATTCAACCGTTTTACTTGCTGTATTTTCTTCAATATGTCTTTCTAAATTCCCGTCTCTAGCCCGGTTATGGATAGTTAGCCTTTTATGTCTAAAAAGGGTTGCTAAGAAGTAGTGTTTTTACTTTTCATTCATTGCTCAACATGTTTTCCCAAAAAGTTAGGATTTAGAGAAGGCCACTGTAAGTCTTAACAAGTCAATACTGAAAAGGTTGCT